AAAAAAAAAAAAAAAAAAGAACATTTGTAACTCATGGAAGGAAGTTAAAATATCAACATTTATAGAGTTTGGAAGAAGTTGATTCCAACCCTCTTGGATAATAGCCATCCTAATGTGTGTAAGATAGCATTCATTCATTCGTTCATCTAGTTGAAATCTGACACATTGTGCTAGGTGGACAGGGAAGTGGTCTGTTAGTAAAGGAAAAAAGTGAACAAGATGTTAGGCATAGTCCTTGCTTGAATCTTATAATCCACTTAGAAAAGTAGAACCATAATCTGAACTCTAATACATATTAAGCAGTTACCAGGTGCCAAGCGCTGCTAAATGCTTACCGTGTTTTCTCTCTGTTGGTCCTCTCCGCAGTCTTTTGAATTAGATACAACTGTAATACCATCTTCCAGAGGAGAAAAGTAGAACATCTCAGTGATTTGCCAAATGTCTAGATAGGCCAGAGTTGAAAGCCTAGTTGAGTTATCTCAGCTTGTGTTCTCTCTTTCAACAGAGGATGAGGTTAATCTCATTTTGTAAGCCTGACTTGAAGGGTTGAAGGAGCAGGACAAGACTTGCCAGGGCCTTCACCTGAGATAGTAGTCATCCATAGTAATAGGGTAATAACTTTTACTCCACAATCTAAATCTAGGGCCAGTGGCTCATGCCTATAATTCTAACATTCTGAGAGGCCAAGGTGAAAGGATTGCTTGAGCTTGGACTATTTGAGCTTGAGTGTTCAAGACCAGCCTGAGCAACATTGTTAGAACACAGACCCCAGTCCGCAAAAACAAAAGAGAAAGAAAAAAAAAAAGAAAAATGAGCTGTGTGTGGTGGCATATGCCTGTAGTCTCAGCTACTCTGAAGGCTGTGGCAGGAGAACCACTTGAGGCCAGGAGTTTGAGTTTCCAGTGAGCTATGATTATGCTACTCTAGTAGGGTGACCAGATTTTAACATTGGTAAAGTGGGACAACATGGTGGGGGCGGGGTGGGGGCGGGGCAGCGGACAGGGCAGGGCAGGGCCTGACAACAATGCAAACTTTGATAAGCAGTTCTTGATAAAAACTTCTCAACAATTATTTGTTATTATTACAGTTCAACATTATAAAATTAACAAAAAAAATACAAAACTCATATCCTGGAGAAATAGGCACATGGCAGCCGAAAACTGTATATTCCCTTCCTGTTCTCTGGCCTGTTTGGTGCATTCTTTCCAAAAATTGGGACTTTTTAAAAACACTGCAGGAGCGAGACCCGCAAATAAAGGGGAACGCTCAGGCTGCGGCGGGGCCGGCGGTGGGCGAGCAGCGAGGCCTCGGCCTCTGTGACTGGCGGCCCAGCGCGGCCTCGGTCCGGAGAGGATTCAAGATGACCAACGAAGAACCTCTCCCCTGAGGGCAATAAAGTGAGACTATGTCTCTAAAAAAAAAAAAAAAATAGGAAAGAAGTCATCACCTTAAAACAAAAGTGCAGGTAAAGCAGCAAGTGCTAATGTAGAAGCTGGAGCCAGTAATCCAGAAGATCTAGGAAAGATAATTGATAAAAGTGGCTATACTAAACAGTAGATTCCAATGTAGACAAAATAGCCTTCTAAAGAGAAGTCACTACCAGGCCTCGAAGCTTCAAAGAATAGGCTAGGTCTCTTGTCTGAGGCTAATGCAGCTGGTGACTTTAAGTTGAAACCAATGCTCATTTACCATTGCAAAAATCCTAGGGCCCTTAAGAACTATGCTAAATCTGTTCTGCCTGTGCTCTATAAATGGAACAGGCCTGGATGACAGAATGCTTGTATGCAGGTTACTGAATATTTTAAGCCCACTGTTGAGATCTACTGTGCAGACAAAAAGATTTTTTTAATATATTACACCTTGTTGACAATACACACAGTCACCCCAGAGCTCTAATGGAGGTGTACAAGGAGATTAATGTTATTTTCATTTCTATGGACACACATCCATTCTTCAGTCCAAGGATCAAGGAGGAATTTCAACTTTCAACTTTTATTATTTAAGAAATACATTGCAAGGCTGGGGGCGGGTTAGGAGGCCGAGGTGGGTGGATTGCTTGAGTTCATGAGTTTGAGACCAGTCTGAGCAAAAGCGAGACCCCACCTCTATTAAAAATCGAAGAACTGAGGCAAGAGGATTGCTTGAACCCAGGTTGGAGGTTGCTGTGAGCTATGATGCCATGGCACTCTACCCAGGGTGATAGCTTGAGACTCTGTCTCAAAAAAAAAAAAAGAAAAAGAAAAAAAGAAATACATTTTATAAGGCTAAAGCTGCCATAGATAGTTATTCCTGTGATGGATCTGGACAAAGTAAATTGAAAACCTTCTGGGAAGTATTCACCATACTAGATGTCATTAAGAACTTTGTAACTGGCTCGGCGCCTATAGCTCAACCGGCTAAGGTGCCAGCCACGTACACCTAAGGTGGCGGGTTCAAATCCCCAGCCCGGACCTGCCAAACAACAATGATGGCTGCAACCAAAAAATAGCCGGGTGTTGTGGTGGGCGCCTGTGGTCCCAGCTACTTGGGAGGCGGAGGCAGGAGACTCGCTTGAGCCCAGGAGTTGGAGGTTGCTGTGAGCTGTAATGCCACCGGGAGGGGGGAACAGCTTGAGGCTCTGTCTCAAAAAAAAAAAAAAAAAAAAGAACATTTGTAACTCATGGAAGGAAGTTAAAATATCAACATTTATAGAGTTTGGAAGAAGTTGATTCCAACCCTCTTGGATAATAGCCATCCTAATGTGTGTAAGATAGCATTCATTCATTCGTTCATCTAGTTGAAATCTGACACATTGTGCTAGGTGGACAGGGAAGTGGTCTGTTAGTAAAGGAAAAAAGTGAACAAGATGTTAGGCATAGTCCTTGCTTGAATCTTATAATCCACTTAGAAAAGTAGAACCATAATCTGAACTCTAATACATATTAAGCAGTTACCAGGTGCCAAGCGCTGCTAAATGCTTACCGTGTTTTCTCTCTGTTGGTCCTCTCCGCAGTCTTTTGAATTAGATACAACTGTAATACCATCTTCCAGAGGAGAAAAGTAGAACATCTCAGTGATTTGCCAAATGTCTAGATAGGCCAGAGTTGAAAGCCTAGTTGAGTTATCTCAGCTTGTGTTCTCTCTTTCAACAGAGGATGAGGTTAATCTCATTTTGTAAGCCTGACTTGAAGGGTTGAAGGAGCAGGACAAGACTTGCCAGGGCCTTCACCTGAGATAGTAGTCATCCATAGTAATAGGGTAATAACTTTTACTCCACAATCTAAATCTAGGGCCAGTGGCTCATGCCTATAATTCTAACATTCTGAGAGGCCAAGGTGAAAGGATTGCTTGAGCTTGGACTATTTGAGCTTGAGTGTTCAAGACCAGCCTGAGCAACATTGTTAGAACACAGACCCCAGTCCGCAAAAACAAAAGAGAAAGAAAAAAAAAAAGAAAAATGAGCTGTGTGTGGTGGCATATGCCTGTAGTCTCAGCTACTCTGAAGGCTGTGGCAGGAGAACCACTTGAGGCCAGGAGTTTGAGTTTCCAGTGAGCTATGATTATGCTACTCTAGTAGGGTGACCAGATTTTAACATTGGTAAAGTGGGACAACATGGTGGGGGCGGGGTGGGGGCGGGGCAGCGGACAGGGCAGGGCAGGGCCTGACAACAATGCAAACTTTGATAAGCAGTTCTTGATAAAAACTTCTCAACAATTATTTGTTATTATTACAGTTCAACATTATAAAATTAACAAAAAAAATACAAAACTCATATCCTGGAGAAATAGGCACATGGCAGCCGAAAACTGTATATTCCCTTCCTGTTCTCTGGCCTGTTTGGTGCATTCTTTCCAAAAATTGGGACTTTTTAAAAACACTGCAGGAGCGAGACCCGCAAATAAAGGGGAACGCTCAGGCTGCGGCGGGGCCGGCGGTGGGCGAGCAGCGAGGCCTCGGCCTCTGTGACTGGCGGCCCAGCGCGGCCTCGGTCCGGAGAGGATTCAAGATGACCAACGAAGAACCTCTCCCCAAAAAGGTTCGACTGAGTGAGACAGACTTCAAAGTTATGGCACGAGATGAGTTAATTTTAAGATGGAAACAATATGAAGCATATGTACAAGCTTTGGAGGGCAAGTACACAGATCTTAACTCCAATGACGTAACTGGCTTAAGGGAGTCTGAAGAAAAGCTAAAGCAACAACAGCAGGAGTCTGCGCGGAGGGAAAACATCCTTGTAATGAGACTAGCAACCAAGGAACAAGAGATGCAAGAGTGTACGACTCAAATCCAGTACCTCAAGCAAGTCCAGCAGCCGAGCGTTGCCCAACTGAGATCAACAATGGTAGACCCAGCGATCAACTTGTTTTTCCTAAAAATGAAAGGTGAACTGGAACAGACTAAAGACAAACTGGAACAAGCCCCAAATGAACTGAGTGCCTGGAAGTTTACGCCTGATAGAGGCCTGATGCCGTCGGACTATTCCGAAGAAGTGGCCACCTCCGAAAAAGTCCCCTTCTAGAACATGTAGAAACTTGAGAAATGTTTCTGTTTGAAGAAAATAGAGGGAGAAACAGAAGTCTTAAGTCTGGGGCACAGTGTGTCTTCAGACAATTTGGAGGAATGAAAACCTAGAGATTTTAAATCATGAATTGAACATGTAAAATTCCAGTAAAATGTAAAACAGAATATGCATCGCTCTTAACCTTGAGCATAGTGACTTAGAGACACTGTATATCAGTTTTGCCTATAAGACTGTGGACTTCACGATTGTTGTTGAACTTCTGGGTCAAAACTCAAATGAGGTGAATTTTACCTTTAAAGAGTTCATTTGCTAAGAAACAACTTTTACTAGTCATGAGAGAAATAATAGATGTCAGTACAAATAGTGCATATACTTTAACCATTTAGTTTGGGGCTCTATATTACTTGATTGAGCCTTACATCAATGTGGTTTTAATCAATGGTTTTGTTCTTTGAATGGTTGCAAAAACTGTAGATAATCTTTATCGAGGACTGTACAAACGTGAAGGTGTGGTCTCAAATTCAGGTTTAAACTGTTTCAAGCATTATAAACAAACATTCATTTCATAACTAGATTGTATATTGGCTGTGATGAGATTCACTGCGTTATTTTTTCCAGTAGCAAACTTTATGAAATACCCATTCCATTGGACAGGCACATGTTAAAAGAGCATTGTCTTTTGGTGTTAATGGGGGAATGTGTTCCTTCATTGTATTTGAGCCTTTTGTATTGCACTCTTGATATTAAATTAAATGTGCCTTGAAAAAAAAAAAAATAAAAACACTGCAGGATGCAGGACAAATTGTTAAAAAGGGGGGCGTCTGGTCACCATATACTCTAGTCAGGGTAAGAGAGTGAGACACTGTCTCAACAAAAAGAGGAAAAAAGAGAAAAAAAAGTATTATGAAATTTGTTTGTGAGTACGAAAATGGAGAATTCACCCTAATGCACTCCATCCTCTCCATTGATATTTTTATGGAGTAAAGGAAAAATGCTTCCAGGCCTCCAGCTGTGCCTCAAACAATGTGCCATAGGTACAAGGAGAGGGGGGAAACCAGGAGTAGAATCCTGGCCTAGTGACAAGTCTGACTCTTGTTCATTCCAGGATTCTACTTCTGTTTAACTCTATATTGACCATATATTGTTAAATAAAAATGGAGACCAGGACTGACCTTTGCCTGTGAGCCAATGGCCCACATTGAGGTCAGCAAAACTTATTTCCTGAAATGCCCCTTAAACAATAAAGGAAGCCTGAGGATTATTTCCTCATCAGAATGACTCAGCACATTGTAGCCAATCAGCTATGGCCTAAGTAACCTGCTTGCCCTAAAAGGAAAAGATGCTGTAAAATAACCCGGGAGGATTAAAAGCTCTCTGAGCTTCCTCTTTTATTTTTTAGAAACCTTAGTCTAAACTTTGCAAGAGGGCAATCTTACCTTTTGGTTTTGAAGTTTATATCAAGTTGAAAGAAATAAGAATATGCCACCCCCAAATATGGCCCTTTGACAAAAAAATTATTTTTGCACTAAAGGTCATTAATAACCAGCAAACAGAGGAAAAGCTCTATCTCCCTCCTTTTCTGCCTAAAGATAATATATAAACTCTCCTTTACTGGAGACAGTGCTAGACTCTATCAGCTCAGGGAGGGTACCCGAGGAATCTTCAAATGTACCTCACTCCATTCCTTTCCTCCCACATTCACCCTTCCACAGTTTCCCACGGTTGGAAGGCTAGAACCATTTTCTTTTGTCCTATCACTTCCTCACAAATTTCTTGTTCTTTATTAAAGCTACTACATAAGGCAGAGTTCTAAGACACTGCTTTGAGATGTGTTTCACTGAGGTTTCTTTCACATGATGTGTGTTCCTTTCATCAATCAACTTGTTTATTTTTCTCTTGTTAATCCATCTTGTGTTGTAGGTGTCGCTGCCAAGAGCTATGAGGGGTTGCAGGTTTTCTCCCTGACAAAATAAAGGTCTCTGCATTTTCTTTCCACTACTTGCATAGAAAACAAATACAGTAGGTATATATATTATCCCTGTGAATATATGAATGTCTGAATTTTCTGTTGACTATGTCTAGAAAAGAAATATATATAAATATGTATTCTGCCTATGAATAGCTGAATGTCTGGATTTTCTTTTGAATATATATATATATATATGTATACACATTTTTTTTTCTCCCTGTGAATCACTTTCTTTTTTTTGTTTTATTGTTGGACATTCGTTGCGGGTACAAGAAACCAGGTTACACTGATTGCACTTGTCAGGTAAAGTCCCTCTTCCCTGTGAATCACTTTCTTCCTTCCTTGTCAGCTGTCACAAAGGCACCCAGAGATAAATCATATTGGGAATATCATTTTCCTTCATCAAGATCAGCCTAGAATTGGGGGCATAACCCAAATGCAGATGACAAGATGAAAGGGGTGTCTGCTGTGCACCTGACAAAAACTTTCATAAAGGCTGTTGAGGAGACGCTGTCTTCTTGGTGATACCACTGAGCCCCTGAACCAGTCCCAGAACTGACAACCTGTAGACTTTTTTTAACAAAAAAGTAAACTTGATATTTTAGAGCAGTTGCAGATTCACAGCAAAATCAGGAGGAAGATACAGAGATTTCCCATACACTTCCTGCTCCCAAACCTGCATAGGTCCTCATTATCAACATCCCCAACCAGAGGGATTCATTTGTTACAACTGATAAACCTGCATTCACATATGACAGTCACCCATAGTCCATAGCTGACCTTAGGGTTCACTCTTGGAGTTGCACAGTGACATGTATCCATCACTACAGCGTCACACAGAGTTATTTCAATGCTTTACAAAATTCTCTTGCGCTGCCTCTCCATCCCTTTCTCCCCTGGAACCCTTAGCAACCAGCAATCCTTTTACTTTCTCCCTATTTTCTCCTTTTTTGAGAATGTCCATATTTCTTTTTATTGCAGATAAATAAAGGTCTACAATGCTTAAGCCACTATTGGTCAAGAATTCTATTATTCACAGCCAAAATACATCCTAACTGGATCACTTCCCAACTGGATGTTAAGTTCCCTGAGGCAGGATTACTGTATTTTATTTTATTTTTTTAAGATTTCTCATAATGCCATGGAAGGTTTTCTTGCATGGGGCAGGCACAAAATTCTTGAATTAATAAATGAATGGCTAGAAGCATAAATAATAACAATATAAAATACCATGTCTCCTAAAATATGTATCAGGTTAGCTGTGGATTTGGGTGGAACATCCTGTAATCAGAGCCTACATTACAGTGGAATTGAAGAGTCTTAGAGCTGGTATGAGCCATACTGCTGATCACTGAGACCAAATAAAGAAATAGAGATGTGTGCTTAATTAGTATTTGTTACTGACAAATACAGAGGATACCAAAAAATGTATACACATTTTGAAAAAGGAAAAACCCCTATTAAATTTGTAATACTCATATCACACTTGGCCTCTGCAGTTACAAGAAGTGCTCAAATTGACTTATATTCATATTTTTTTTGAATAGTATATATTGAGTATTACAATTTTTTTTTCTCTCTTAAAATGTGTATACTATTTTTTAGCACCCTCTGTGTAATGCTAGGCATGCCCTGCTCCCATTCTAGTAATCTTTCTGTTATACTGTGCCTACTTATCTTGGCACTTGGGCCCAATCCAGGCTTCTCCATCCCAGAATAGCTCCAGGCTCCCCACATTAGTGCTGCAGTGATTCATGGCCTTGGCCCACTTGGAGGATCTAGCTAACCCTCCTGACTCGGAACTAGGGGCACATGCCAGCAAACATCCAGTGTAGGCTTGTGTAATCACCTGGGGGAGAAAACTGGGGTCTCCAGCAGGAGTTGTCATGTTAGAGCAGGCTGGAACAAGATGGGAGGGGAGAGGGGCGTGGAAAGCAGACCCTTCCATTTATCTGTGGGTTCTCCGAGTTCAGGCCACCTCAGAGAGTCCTCCTACTAACAGTTGCCTGTATTTCAGCTGGATTCAAATCCAGACCTATTATCCTAGGTAAGTTTTTAGGACTACTGTGAAGGTCAATTTTCTGTGTCAACTTGGTCAGACAAACACCAGTCTAGATGTTGCTGTGAATATATGTTTTTAACACTTAGATCAGTAGACTCTGAGTAAAGCAGATTATCCTCCCTAATGTGGGGGTGGGCTTCATCTAGTCAGCTGAAAGCCTTAAGAGAAAAGACAGATTTATAAAGGAACAGAGAATTCTGCCTGCAGATAGCCTTGGACTTGAGGTATAGCATCAAGCTTTTTTTGGGTCTCCAGTCTGCTAGCCTGCCCTGCAAATTTTGGACCTGGCTGCAGCCACAATTATGGGAGCCAATTTCTGAAAAATCTCTGTCTCCCGGCTCGGCGCCTGTGGCTCAAGCAGCTGGGGCGCCAGCCACATACACCTGAGGTGGCAGGTTCGAATCCCCAGCTCGGGCCTGCCAAACAATAATAATGGCTGCAACCAAAAAATGGCCAGGCGTTGTGGCGGGCGCCTGTGGTCCCAGCTGCTTGGGAGGCTGAGGCAGGAGACTTGCTTGAGCCTAGGAGTTGGAGGTTGCTGTGAGCTGTGATGCCATGGCACTCTACTTAGGGTGACAGCTTGAGGCTCCGTCTCAAAAAAAAAAAAAAAATCTCTGTCTCCCTGCTCCACACACACACACACACACACACACACACCCTATATCCTATTACTTCTGTTTTGTTAGAGAACACTGACTAATTCAACTACCCTGAAGTCCAAGGATGATGTATGGCCATTGTACGCCTTCTCAGCTGGTGTTAGGATAGAATTTACAATTGGCAGGGGTGGCTTAGCTCTCAGGCCTAGTCTTATTGAGGACAAGGCTGCAGGGAAAACCAACAGGAGGAGTGGAAGGAAACACAGTGCACAAGATGGCCCTGTTTAAACAGTACAGAATCTTTACAGCAGCCTGGCCTTATAGAGCCTTTTAAAAATGGCGTTCTCTTTCCCCATTGCAGCTTTGCTATCTATTCATCCTCTGCTGCTGTTTGCTTTTCTCACTCTCCTGGGGAATCTGTAAAACAGCGGCCTCCCCCTAACTGCTCTCCTACTCTCAGAGTTGTTCCTAAGGAGAGAGTCAAGGAAATGATGACATGCTTTGAGAATTAATGGTCCATCTCTGTTCTGTCCCACAGCTAATCACTGAGCCAGCTGTACAGGAGGCAGCAGAGAAGGTGCTTTAAGCAGGGCTGCAAGCCATGAAAAATTGATGTTACCGGGAAGAGAAAACTGCAGAGCCACAGCTGCAGGCAGAGCTGGTAGGGGAGGGGATGGGGCTGAAGGAAGGGGAGAAGGTAGGGATGATAGAGCTGGGCTGCATACCTTGAAAATCATGAGAGAGGACAAAGGAGCTGCAGAGAGGGATGTTCCTGATAGGCAGTTACTTTCCAGGATCTCTATATACACCATGTACTTCCTCTCTGATGACAAAAGTAGTTAGAGACCTATTATCTATGTGACTATCAGGGACACCAAGTGCACAAAAATAACACCAATCACTTTCCCAGCTTGTTGTGAACAGCTACGGAGCTGATGTTTCGAAGCACTTCAAGCTACGCCAACATCCATTTCGCTACTACCTTTGGTATCCAGAGAATGCTAACTCCCACAGCTGGGGTGCTGTATGAACTTTTTACACATATGTGAAGTTCAGCACTTTAACAAAACTTAGCACGTATCTGATGATCTGCATTGAATGTCCCTGAATTATAAATTTTAAAAGATTATTAGTTGTAGCTGTTG